ACTACTACTACTAAACGACTACTTACTACTGCTACTACTACTGCTACTACTATTACTACTACTACTACTACTACTACTACTACTACTACTACTACTACTACTACTACTACTACTAGACTACTACTACTACTACTACTACTACTACTACTACTACTACTACTACTACTACTACTACTACTACTACTACTACTACTACTACTACTACCACTACTATTTGTGACATTAGACCAGCTGCACTGTTACACTTGTATTGCAGGACCTGGCGCGCTCTAGGAGCAGCTGCGCGTCAGTACATGATAGTACCAGGTGAACTCAAATACGAGTTGTATTGTAGCTGGGTGGGTTCAGGGGCTCCAAGAGCAATGCGCGCGCGGAAAAAAAAGTAAATAAACGCATGCACCGCAAGGGGGCCCGGGCTTAAAGGGTCGGCGCGAAGGTTGACCCCCCGCGGAAAGAAGAACATACATCCGGTCAGGCGGTCGGGAGGTTACGGCGTGAGTCGATGGACTGATGTCGTCTTTGGAAGGACTCCCGACAACGAGCGAAGGTCGTCCATGGGGTGAGGGAGAGCGGGGCTCCTCGCGCTCCTGAGCCCGAACGGCGGCGGCGGACGTCGAAGACGATGGCGACGTCTCAGGACGGCGCGAGCCATCGGAAGTTTCATCGGGTTGAAACGGAGCGACCCCCATAGGACCGTCCCTCCAACCCCTTGAATATCTCTTGGGGTACTTCACGCATGAGACCTCAAGGGCATCTCTCGGGGTACATACCGTCTCGCCGCGATCTAGGAGAGAGCGTGATCCACCGCCGCTTCACTGCGGAAAATTCCCACCCACCCCTTTTCCTCCGGAGCCCAGGAGTCCCCCCCCTCCGAAAATCCCCACCCACCCCTGCAGGACCCCCCCCTTCCCCCGGCAAAACCCCCCCCTCCCCCAACCCCCCCCCCCCCAGAAAACCGGGGGCGGTCACTACACGTTCGACCCCCCCCCCCCCCGGAAAACCAGAGGCTACCGGCTCGACCCCCCCCCCGCAGAATACCAGAGTCACCATGGTTCGAACCCCCCCCTCCACTCCAGAAAACCGGGGGGGGGGTCACTACCGGTTCGAAGCCCTCCCCCCCGCTCCCCCCCACGAAACCGAAGGGGGTCACTACCGGTTCGAGCCCCCCCCCTCGAAAACGGGGGGGGGTCACTACCGGTTCGAATCCCCCTCCCCTGCCCCTCGAAAGAAAAGGGCGGGATCAAATAACAACGATTCGAAACCCCTCCCCCCCCCCCCTTCCCCCCCCTCACCGCCAGCAAACGATTCCCCAGGGTCCCGGTCCCTACCACCGTGTGCACCACATCCCCCACTGCTGTTCCCAGCACCACTGTCTTCACCACCACTGTCCCCACTGGTTCCACCACCGTCCCTACTGTTCCCACCAGTGCCCCCACCACTATCGCACTGTCCCCACTGTCCCCACCACTGTTCCCAACACGGTTCCACTCCGGCCCCAACCACTGCCCGACTCTCCCCACTGTCCCCGCTGTCCCACTGCCTCCTCCGCTGTCCCACTGAGCTGTCCCACTGTTCCCACCACTGTCCCCACTGTCCCCACCACTGTCCCCACCGCCGTCCTCGCCACCGCGCTCACCACTGTCCCCACCACCGCTGTACCCTCCACTGTCCCACTGTTTCCACCACATTCCCACTGTCCCCACACCACAGTCCCCACCACCACCGTCCCCACCACTGTCCCACTGTTCCCACCATTGTCCCCGCTGTCCCCACCAGTGTTCCCACCAGTGTGTCAATGTCCCACTCCCCCACCATTGTCCCACCACGGTCCCACTCTCCCCACTCTGCCAACGGTCCCCACCACTGTCCCACTGTCCCCACTGTACCCACTACTGTCCCACTGTCCCCGCCGCTGTCCCACTGTGCTGTGCCAGCGTCCCCACTGTCCCCATCAGTGTCCCACTGTCCCCACTGTCCCCACCAATTTCCCCACTGTGCGACTGTCCCACCACTGTCCTCACCACCGCCTTCACCACTGTCTCCACCACTACCGTCCCCACCACTGTCCCACTGTCCCCACCACTGTCCCGCTGTCCCCTCGCCATTGTCCCCACCACCACCGTCCCCACCACTGTCCGCCCCCCCCCCCCCCCGGTTTTCGAGGAGGGGGGGGGGTTCGAACCGGTAGTGACCCCCCCCCCCGGTTTTCGAGGGGGGGGGTTCGAACCGGCAGTGACCCCCCCCCCCTTTTCATGATGAGCTGGGGGGGGAGGGGTTCGAACCGGTAGTGGCCCTCCCCCCGTTTTCTGGAGTAGGGGGGGAGGGGTTCGAACCAGTAGTGCCCCCCCCGGTTTTCCGCCAGCAGCGGTAGAACACGCCCTTTCCGATCTATAGAAGCCATCTTGCCTCCTTCCAAGACGAGCCGGCAGGCACGAGGCAATCTCCGAAAAGCCGACGTTTATCACTGATTGTGGACCCTCGGGCCCGCTCCAGGGGCCTCCAAGTCTGCCTACGCCCCGACGCGCGGCAGGTAAGGCCACGCGGCGCAAGGCATCCAGCCGCAGCCAGCGCGCCCCACTCGGTCTGGCGCAGCGCCGTGGTGCGGAAGCTGGCCGGCGGCCCCCGCGCGCCCCCGCGGGAGCCGAAACACTCCCACTGGTGCCGGCCGGGCGCGCGGATGTCCTCGCCGACGGGGCCGCGGAAGGCGGGCTGCATCCACTGCGCCACCTCCGCGGCACTGGCGGGGGCCTGCGGCCCGCGCGCGAGCTGCGCGGCCTCCCGGCGCGCGCCCGTGAACGCCAGGAAGAGGAGGCCGGGCGGCTCGGAATCGCGACCGCGTTGGCGCTGGTGCATGGGGCACCCATGCCAGGCCGCAATCGTGGCCATGCATACGTGCCCGTACTACAGCGGCCCTATCCTGAAGGCACCGTCCAGGAAGAGGCCCTCGCCCGCCGGCACCAGGTCGACCGCGAACGGGACGATGGCGCGGGAGCCGACCTCGTCAGGTGCCTCCCCGGCCCACGCGGCCGCCCCGATCTCCTCCCCGCAGAACTCGACGAGGTCCTGGTGCACGTAAGACGCGCCGTTCCGAGCGGTCCGCGACTCCGCAGCCATCGCGAGCGGGGCGCGTTGCGAGGATGCGAAACCGAAGCAGGGAAGCTCGAGCCGGGGCGCCTGCGGACAGCGGCCCACTCCCCAAAGGACCACTTCTCAGAGGGCCAGGGGACTTCTGAGAAGTCCCGCCGCCTTCTGAGGAGGCCTTCTCCTTCTCACTTCCCCCCCCCGCTTGCCGCGGAAGCACGGGGCTGAAGGGAAACTGGGACACACAAATAAATACACACAATTAAACATATCCCCCATATTTTCCCATATTTTCTGGGTTTTTGTCTTCCCCCCCACTTCCCATATTTTCCCATATTTTCTGGGAAATCGACGATTAATTGTGTCTGTGTGTTTTTTCCCCTCCTGATTCTCCTTCTCACTTCCCCCCCCGCTTGCCGCGGAAGCACGGGGCGGCGTCCGCCGCCTCCAGCGGCACGCTGGTCAGGGCCGCGTTGGGGTCGCAGGACGCGTGCGGTGCCTGGGCCGGCCGGGCGGATCTCCGCCGCGGGAACCGCCTCGTCCTCCCCCACGGGGGGGGGGGAGGGAGGGCGAGGAGGGAGGGATCGGCGGCGGGCCCAAAGGGGGGAAGTGACGAGGGGCGGGCCTTCTCGACAGGCTGGGAAGTCCTCCTCCTCCTCCTCCTCCTCCTCCTCCTCCTCCTCCTCCTCCTCATCCCCTGGCCGTCTGACAAGTTTTCTGAGCTTTCCCCGAGGGCGCCAATCCTCTCGGAAGGCGCGAAGGCTTCTGAGAAGTCCCGCCGCCTTCTGAGGCGGCCTGTTCCTTCAACTTCCCCCCTCGCCCGGCGCCGAAGGGAGGGAGGGAGCGAGGGAGGGTCGTCGTCGACCGTCGGGAATAGCAGCTCGCCGCCCGCGAATACGAGGGAGGGAGGGAGGAGCGAGGGAGGGGAGAGGTGGTGGGAGGAAGGAGGAGCGAGGAAGGAGGGATCGAATATCCAGACAAATCATCACAGTGGCCCACGATTCGGCGTCGTACAGAATGCATTCAAGTCGATCCCCGGACCCCCGCGAGAGGTCATCTCGCGGGCAGTTTTTCAAGCTGCGCCCACCTGTGGCAACGAGAACTTCAACAATGACGATGACGGCGGCGGCGGCGGCAGCGACGGACGACGGACGACGCACACGACGGAGACGACGACGACGACGGCGACGGCGACACCGACAGCGACCGACAGCCTTTGCGGGAATCCCGAGCCGTCTGGACAGCTTGGACATGCCTCCAATGCACAGATGTAGTCGCATACGATCGAAAATCTAAAACATTGAAGCCTCAATGACAACGACGACGACGATTGCGACGGCGACGAGGACGACAACGACGACGGCGACGGCGACGACCACGACAACGACGATGACGATGACGACGGATGACCGATGACGGAGGACGGACGATGACTCGCCCGTCGTCTCGTCGTCGTCGTCGTCGCCGCAGTCGTCGTCGTCGTCGTCGTCATCGTCGTCGTCGTCGCCGTCGTCGTCGGTGTCGTTGTCGTTGTCGTTGTCGTCGCCGCCGCCGTCGCAGTCGCCGTCGCCGTCGCCGTTGCCGTCGCCATCGCCGTCGTCCGTCGCCGCCGCCGTCGCCGTCACCGTCGCCGTCACCGTCCCTGCCGCTGTCGTCGTCGTCGCCGTCGTCGTCGTCGTCGACGCCGTCGTCGTCGCCGAAGCCGTCGCTGTTACTGTCGCCGAAGCCGTCGCCGTCGCTGTCGTCGTCATCGTTCGTCACCGTCGCCGTCGCCGTCATCGTCGCAGTCGCCGTCACCGTCACTGCCGCTGTCGTCACTGCCGCTGTCGTCGTCGTCGCCGTCGTCGTCGTCGTCGTCATCGGCGTCGTCGTCGCCGTCGTCGCAGCCGTCGCCGTCGCCGTCGCCGTCACCGTCGCCG